ACAGGAGATGCTCCCCTGTGTCTTGCCTGCAGTTCTCTCCCTCTGGCGTCCTCCAGATGGGTCCCGCTCCCCCAGTAACTCTCCCTTTATCCCAGGGTCTACCCCGTGGTGCCCACCAATGCCAGGGTCTTCTATGAGAAGGACATTGTCATTGGAGACTACCTCTTCCCCAAGAACGTGAGTGGGGCCCATGCCCTGGGGACCCTTGCTGTGCTCAGTGGGGCTGGACATGGTCATTAATCTACCCCCTTCTTACTTCACAGACCCTCTTTGTCCTGGCACACTATGCCATGTCCCATGACGAGACCTACTTCCCTGAGCCCGAGCGGTTCCTGCCCCAGCGCTGGCTCCGGGGCCATGGTTCCCCCCACCACCCCTTCAGCTCCATCCCCTTTGGCTACGGGGTCCGTGCCTGCGTCGGCCGCCGCATCGCTGAGCTGGAGATGCACCTGGCCCTCGCCAGGGTGAGTAGAGACCCTTCCACCCCACCTAACTCACCATGAGCTGGGGTGGGGGCCCCAGGGCATCCCTGAGGCACTGTCACCCCCCTTCTCCCCACAGATCATCCAGGCGTTTGAGGTGCGGCCAGACCCCCGTGGCGTGGTGGTGACGTCTGTGTCCCGCATCGTCCTGGTGGCTGACAAGCCCATCAACCTGGAGTTCATTGCTCGCCCAGGGGCCCCCTGACTGTGTGGCCATTCCCCCCAACCCTGGGTGCCAAGTGGAGATCCCCACTGCCCTACAAGGAGGGGCAGTAAGGAAAACCCACCCCAGTACCTACCCCCTGCCCAGCTTGGGCTGGGATGCTCCCTACCCCACTGTGGGGAAGATGGGGGGTTGGACAAGGGTTGCACCCAAATTGCCCCTGGGGCACTAGTATCCCCCTACCCGAAATCAGTAGGCAGCTTGGGGAACTGCTGTGCCTTTCACATGCCACAAGGGGTTGTGTCCCCCACATCCCATGCCCAGCTAGGCTGTGTTGGGGGCCCCAGAAGCTCTGCCGGGCTGGGGGGTGGACGTGGGAAGGGGGCTTGCAGCCGTTCAGTGTCTCCTTGGTCCTGTCTTTGTGTAGCTGCGTGTGGATCTGTGCCTGGAGTCAGGACGTCTGGGTCCTCTCTGAACAGCTGACCTTGTCCTCAGCCACTTCTCTGTCTCTGTTTCCCTCCTGCCTCCAAGGAGAGGCTTGGGTGCCGGTGGGGGTTTGGGATTTGCACCTGATCCTGAGGGATGGGTCTAGCCCTGGCCTTGGGCAAGAAAGTGGAGCAATAACACAGCATGTCCCCCGTGCTGAGGAAGAGGCCTGTCACCACCCGGTGCTGGTATCAAGTCCCCTGGCAGGGCCAGCCCTGGGACCTTTCACTATCAGCTGTTATTTCACAGAGATGCTGATACGGGGTGACAGGAACAGGGACAGGACTTGCCCCAGGTGAAGCAGCCAGGGCAGGATCAGCTTGGCTCCCCCAGTCCCTGTGCAGGGACATGGGGCTGATATCCAGGGCCATTGCAGGGGCTCAGAGCTGGCAGCTGCCCCAGGCAGAGGATGAGCTGCTACTTGCCCAAGCTCCTGGAGGGCTAGGGTTTGGGGTCCCGTAACAGCAGACTCTCCTCACTTTCCTGCTGCTTGGGGATCCTGGCTAGACTGAGGGAAGCAGCAGGCAGAAACCTTTCTAGTACCAAGGCTACCATTCATAGGGCATCCCTGAGGGGATGTGCACAGCGCCACCATTATGGAGCTATCAAGTCTGCATGCCCTGTGCCCCCCCCCATCCCTCTGACTGTACCCATGTGGGCAGAGGTGCCACCTTGTGCCCATGCCACCCTAGCTGGCATCCCAGGCTCGGTCCTCCAGCCCTGCTGAGCTGGGGCACTAGTATCCCCCTACCCGAAATCAGTAGGCAGCTTGGGGAACTGCTGTGCCTTTCACATGCCACAAGGGGTTGTGTCCCCCACATCCCATGCCCAGCTAGGCTGTGTTGGGGGCCCCAGAAGCTCTGCCGGGCTGGGGGGTGGACGTGGGAAGGGGGCTTGCAGCCGTTCAGTGTCTCCTTGGTCCTGTCTTTGTGTAGCTGCGTGTGGATCTGTGCCTGGAGTCAGGACGTCTGGGTCCTCTCTGAACAGCTGACCTTGTCCTCAGCCACTTCTCTGTCTCTGTTTCCCTCCTGCCTCCAAGGAGAGGCTTGGGTGCCGGTGGGGGTTTGGGATTTGCACCTGATCCTGAGGGATGGGTCTAGCCCTGGCCTTGGGCAAGAAAGTGGAGCAATAACACAGCATGTCCCCCGTGCTGAGGAAGAGGCCTGTCACCACCCGGTGCTGGTATCAAGTCCCCTGGCAGGGCCAGCCCTGGGACCTTTCACTATCAGCTGTTATTTCACAGAGATGCTGATACGGGGTGACAGGAACAGGGACAGGACTTGCCCCAGGTGAAGCAGCCAGGGCAGGATCAGCTTGGCTCCCCCAGTCCCTGTGCAGGGACATGGGGCTGATATCCAGGGCCATTGCAGGGGCTCAGAGCTGGCAGCTGCCCCAGGCAGAGGATGAGCTGCTACTTGCCCAAGCTCCTGGAGGGCTAGGGTTTGGGGTCCCCTAACAGCAGACTCTCCTCACTTTCCTGCTGCTTGGGGATCCTGGCTAGACTGAGGGAAGCAGCAGGCAGAAACCTTTCTAGTACCAAGGCTACCATTCATAGGGCATCCCTGAGGGGATGTGCACAGCGCCACCATTATGGAGCTATCAAGTCTGCATGCCCTGTGCCCCCCCCATCCCTCTGACTGTACCCATGTGGGCAGAGGTGCCACCTTGTGCCCATGCCACCCTAGCTGGCATCCCAGGCTCGGTCCTCCAGCCCTGCTGAGCAGCCAGCACCCCCTCCCTAGCCTAGCTCTTTGGAGCTGCCATGCCCAGTTGCACCCACGAAAGGCAAGACAGCGGTTCCTGGAGCAGGCTGCTTTATTATAACAAGGCTGAAGAGACCAGCAAATAAATACCCACACACACAATGTGCACAGGGTCCCCATGCAAGTGCCCGTCCTGGCACCAGTTCTGGCACCTGTTCCAAGGAGCTCTGGCCCCGAGTGACCCTACAACAAACAAGCCTGTGTGTGCAGCTGAGCCCACGCTACCAGGCACAGGGCACAGCCAGCAGGATTGTGCTCACCAGGGTGAAGGAGCCGTGGTTGAAGTGCTCAAATCCAGCAGCAGGGTGGGAGTGGGCTGGCCAAGCCCCCCGAAGCCATGCTGGTCCCCATGCCCAGCTGCGGGCATGGCAGGGCTCCTCTGGCACCGCGCCCATCGAGCACCACCCTGTGCTCACTGGCAGGAGGCACCACGGGCCCCCTTTTCCCCACTCCCTGCCTCTCCGAGGCTGGCAGGATCTGGCCCCAGACTCAAGACGAG